TAGAAGCTGATACTTTATGATCACCTACTATGTGCCACGTATGGATAGGTCATGTGGATTATCTCAGTCTCATAGTAGTAAGCTCTTAAATAGTGTTACCATCTGTACTAAGCCAATGAAAAACTGAGATTCCAAGAGGTGAAGTACTGTATCAAGGGTACCCAGCACAATGATGGACAGAGTTAAGAACAGAACTCAATCTGTCTGCCGTCCGACAACTCAGCCTCGTTCTGCTCCACCCTTCATCTTGCTGACAATACGTCCTTATTGCCTTGCTGAGGAGACGCACCTCGGGATCACTGGTAGACTCTCAGATTAAGTGTCTTTCCTTCCAGACAGATGTGGACTGTTGGAGACTAAGACCCTCCACATTCCAACGACTTGTCCTGACTTGTCCTACGCATGAGAAAATAGCCTATGAGAATAACCCAGCCCTCCAGCTATAGTTCCGAGAGAGAACTGCGATTACAGCTCGGGAGGCTGAGGCAGTAGGATTGCTTGAGCCCAGGAGTTTGAGGTTGCTGTGAGCCAGGCTGATGCCACGGCACTCACTCTAGCCTGGGCAACAAAGCAAGACTCTGTCTCAATCAATCAATCAATAAATAAATAAATAAATAAAATTTATAGGGAAAGGCAAAGAACTAGAACAGCTGAAATAATTTGGAAAAAGAGGTTTAGTGGGCGGAGTCCATCTACCTGCTGGTAAGGCTGATATCGCATAGCGTAGCATTCCAGACAGGGCAGTACTGGGGGAGGGATGACACATGGTGGCTCACCGGGACAGAATGGAAGACCCAGAAAGGGACCCACACAAAAACACCAGGTGACTTTTGACCAAAGTGCATAAGCAATTTAATGGAGGAAGGATGGCCTTTCCACAAATGGTGCTGGAGCATTTGGCCATCCAAAGACCAAAAACTAAGCCTTGATCTAGGTCTTACACCTTACACAAATAATTAACTCACAAGGGATCACAGACTTAAGTGCAAAATGTAAACCTATACAACTTTTAGGGAGACAATCTATGGGACATAGAGCTAGACAAAGAGTTTCTTATAACAGTAAATATGCAACTATTATATGACCCCACAATTGCATGCATTTTTATTTATTCTAGAGAAATGAATACTCATGTTCACACAAAAACCAAAACCTGCACACCAATGTTTATAGCAGCTTTTTTTGTTATGGCCAAAGACTAGAAACAACCCTGTCCTTCAGTGGATGAATGATTAGCCAAACCGTGGCACGGTCACACCACACACCGTTCACTGCTGATGCCCGCCGCAGCATGGGGCAGCTCCAGAGAGCCACTCTGGCTGAAAAGAGCCAACCCCGAAAGGTTGCATTTATACAACTTCCTTAAAAGTATAAAATACAGAAATGGAGAACAGATTGGTGGCTGCCAGGGCTTAGGAAAGGGGTGGGTGTGGGAGGGAGTGGGCGTGTCTATAAAAGGGCAGAGGAGGGTGCCCAGGCTGGCAGGGGCCCTTGGCGGGATGGAGGTGCTGGGCTTCGAGCCTGGGGGGTGAGCGCCGCCTGGCTGCAGAGCGCACTGGCTATACTTGCTGTGGTTTTGTCGGTGGTTCCTCTGGGGAAACCAGTGAAGGTCCACAGGATCTCTGTGTTATTTCTTACAACTGCACATGAATCAATAATTATCTCCAGGCCGGGCGCGGTGGCTCACACCTGTAATCCTAGCTTTCTGGGAGGCCGAGGCGGGCAGATTGCTCGAGGTCAGAGTTCAAAACCAGCCTGAGCAAGAGTGAGACCCCGTCTCTACTATAAATAGAAAGAAATCACCTGCGACCTTGACAACAGTTGGTTATTTTCTTGAAATGCCCAAGCCAAAAGTGAGAAGCACAAGGAAACGCTACAAACCAGCCCAAGACAAATGGCCAAAGCAAGTGATCAGCCCAGGGGGATGTAGAAAAACCACATCTTTGATACCCATGCCTCAGCTTGTGTTCCTCTGTTTATTCTATTGTTCAAGGCTCTTGTCTAACTCATCTCAATGCTACTCTTCTACTAGGCCTGTCTTTTGTATGCGGTAGAAGCACATTCTCTCTTTGAGTGCTGGCAGCACCAAACCCCCACTCACTCTCGGAGGAACACATAAAACCTAACTCTTCCTATTTTGAACACTCAGCTCTAAGTGTGAAGCGAGGAGCTCCTTAAGATATTTTAGATCGCTTGCTGAGCTCTCGCAGGCATCTATCCCGACCTGCTACAAGAGCTGTAGGTATTGCTTTGACTTGGAGGTGACTAGCAGAGGCTATTCCTGCTTCCAGCCCTGTGGCACAGCCTACGAACAACTGCGAGTGTTATGGCTTGATCGGCTCCTTTACCCGCGGCATTGTGGTGCCACGGCGCTACGCCCAACAACTGAGCTAACGTCATTAGCAAGGAGTAACAGTGAGTCTGGGAAAGAGACATGAGCAATACACAGATACTCTCCTATGCTCAAGAAACGTTGCAGACACTACATACCAACCGTAAGAGCGCGGAGGAACAAAGCACAATATAGAGGTGTTAGATGCCTGAATATACTGAAAGTGGAGTTGACAGTTAATTGACGATTGCTATTTTCTCTAAGGGTTGCGGGAGTGAGAGGCTATTCTGGGCTAATTGATAGTGCTAAGACTAGTCTGTGACTGTGGCTGAGCGTTCAGGCCCTATCATGGGTCTCATAAGACTCCCATCTGAAGTCTGCTGTGTCCATTATAACTATACATGCTAACCAAAGTTACGACGCCCTCATCTACTAATCAAGGGAGGCGGGGGGGGGTAGCATACATCAACACGTCCTGAATATTCTGATTAATCTGGCCTCCATCAGATGGCCTGACAGAGGCGGTTGACTAAGGAAGAGAATTACCTAGTTTCCTGGCGAGGAAGGGGGCCCTCGGCAGGCGTAGCGATGGTAAGTGGGAGGTGCTGAGCAGCAGGAGGGCACAGTTTTGGGAGGAGGTGTATGCGCACTGGAGGGACCCACTGAGTGCGTGGTGGGTGTAGGTTGGTTATTCAGGGCCTAATGCGACGTCAGGACCTCTGGGGAGGCTTTAATTACTTCGATCTTTAAGTGAGACGCAATACCTTCTCCAGATATCGTAACGTCTGAGGCCCCATTAAAATCGCCACTGGACTGTCGCCAAGAACCGCCTTTTTTCAGCTTTCGGGGAAATGAAATAAAACAGGGCGCGCCCTTGCACCACCACTTTGGCATCTGCTACACTCTTGCTCTAAGAGGGGACGGAGCCGCTGTTGACCGCGTGGTATGGGGTCAGAGGGCAATTCTCTTTGCTTTGACTGTTAATATACGCTCCCAGGAGGAGGAGGGGCCTCACAGATGTATCGCCCGTAGTCTCCTTCCACAGCCCCAGGAGGCACAACAAGAAGTCAGGGCATAAGCACATGCTTTCAGCAAGAGAGCGCCACCTCTCGATGAGCCACCCAGGGAAAACACTATATACAAGGGGGCATGGTTACCGATACGGTCTCTTTGAACCCAGAGCTACAGACAATGGCCGAGAACTGGTGCTCTCTTCTCACACCCGTTGTTAATGGTTTCTACCTTGGTGCAAAATGTGAGGCCCCGCGCATGCACCCAATTCCTCCGGGCTCAAACGGGCGCACACGACGCATACAGGTCCGACTTCATAAGTGGATCTATGGCTGTACGTGGAGGACGAGTGCGAGAGGAATTGGCAAACGTCCCCCTGCCTCATTAATTATTTTTGCCATACGTATCCCAGTTGTAGACGCTGTGGATGTTGGCTTGCGGCGTGTTCTGACGTCGGCCAGAACTAGGCACACGCGACGCCATCACACAGTCCTTCTATCGGGAGCAATCAATTGTATTTCTGGAAGAGAGACAGAAATTAACAGCAATTTTTCTCAGGGATTCTGGTGGCGTCTTGATATACGCACTTAATCGCTTTCTCTGTAGCCCATCTGGCGTTTTTTGCTGGTTATCGTAGATTGCAGGCATGTCCTTTTTCCATACCTCGCCAGGCCACGGGAGCTCAGGGCGCCCCAGCCCATTGTTGCCTTAAGCGGCTCATTCAGTAAGGCTGACCACCTGCAATAACGTATCCCGTGTGGAATGGGTGCCAAAGGCGGCACCTCGGCGCCTTTCACAGGCAGTGTCAACAGGTGAGAAAGTTTAAACACTGACCAGGCCGCACTGAACAACAGCCCCACACCCGGTTCTGCGACCCATATCACACCCGCCTGTCAAAGCCGGTCAACACGAAACTCCTCGCCCCTCCCAATTGTAGTTTTGGAGAGGCCCGCTATCCATTTGAACGTCTGATGAGCCTCTCTCTGGCAATACCGCTTGACGCTTGAGGTTGTAATCCGGAATGCCTGTACATTCTTAATCCTAACTGAGCAGCAGAAATTTTGAAGTTGGCAGCTGCACACTTCCCGGGCCCATGTCCAGCCTCTAACGTAATCAATTAGGCTGAGTGGAAGCGGAGGTGACCCGGACCACCGGCTACTACACCCTCACCCTCCCCCGCACTAATAACTGCTGGCGGGGTGCCCCTCACCTGTTTGCTACCGGGAAGCAAAGCAGTAAACCCACTACAAGTATCCTATAGAGACACTGTACCAATTTACACGCTCTGCGAAACGGGGGTAATGAGTGACATCGCCATCA